TGGACTGGCGAGGATCATCCAGCAGCACGGGAACGGTGTCTCCATGACGAGCATCGCTGGAACTTATGGCTACATTGCTCCTGGTAAGTTTCTCGAGCTCTCGGTAGGTGTTCTAAGCTCGTTTTTGTTCATGGTGCAGAGTATGCTTACACTCTCAAGGTGACCGAGAAGAGCGATATCTACAGCTTTGGAGTGGTGCTGCTGGAGCTCGTCACGGGCAAGAGGCCGATCGAGGCGGAGTTTGGCGATGGAGTGGACATCGTGAGGTGGGTCTGTGACAAGATCCAAGCTCGCAACTCGCTGGCGGAGATCTTCGACTCGAGGATCCCATCGTACTTCCACGAGGACATGATGCTGATGCTCAGAGTTGGGCTGCTTTGCACCAGCGCGCTGCCCGTCCAGAGGCCCGGCATGAAGGAAGTGGTCCAAATGCTCGTGGAGGCGCGGCCAAAGGAGAAGATCCTCGCCAAGCAAGCAGTGTAAGACCATCCATCTCCATCCATCTCCTGGGCAACGCTGCAATGGTACTCCAGCCCAAGAGCAAACTTCCAAGTGAGCCGAGCTCTAGAGGGTTTTCCTCCATGGCCATCGCAAGAACAAAGAAAGAGTTACTCTTTTGGCGCCCAATGTGTTGTTCTCTAGATGTTGTGTTTTGGTAAGATTTTCTTGCGATCTAGCTTGGGAAGAGCAGCGGATTTTAAAGCAGAGAAAGCCACTGCCGCTCCAAGCGGTCTAGTTTTGGTAATGCTTGCTTGAGACTATTTTCTTAGCAGTCGATTGGATCCATGGCGTAGCGTCGATCATAAGCTAGTAACAATGCATCCCAAGGCACGGTTTCACGATCTCCTTTGGACGTTATAACTTTGTTGTGTCCTTGAATTGGTTTACTGCTCTTGCATTATTATTTTTTGTTTCATATGATTGATTGACAAACTTGAAGCTCATGCCAGTCAAGGAAATGGCGATTGGAAGTTTGCTCACAAGATCTCTCACGGTACGTTGTAAACTTCGATTTGCCTCCGCACGATTTCGACGATAACCAGCGGTTGCGTCTTTGGAATCCGGGTGAAAAACCAACCAGTCGAGGTAAAAACGCTGGAGTTTACTTTCTCTATGTATATTCAGGTGATTGCCCACCTGAAATAGATATGCAGTGGCTGAGTTCTTCCAAGGAGAACGAGGCCAATGCGGCCGGTCTTGGAACAGTCCAAACGATGCTTCGTCCCGCAAAGCTCCAAGGCAATCATCGGCGTGCCCGAGGCGAGAAACCTCGCTAGAACGATGCCCAAACATTGTTTTCGTTCGGAACGAGAGGTGATCGATCTCTCCACGGTCTTTTTATATATATCTCGTGGCTTCTGTTCCTCTGCCTAGCTATTCACTCACGTTCTTGCGCAGGTGGAAGAGAAGAAGATGATGAAGATGGACTACTCCAGCAATCCCGACACTCTCATCCCCGGCCTCAGGGACTCGCTCGCGTTGCAGTGCTTGGCTCGAGTGCCTCGGGCGTACTATCCAGCGCTGCGGCGAGTCTCACGGATGTGGCAAGGCACGCTTCTCGGCAGGCAGCTGTTCAAGCTCCGCAAGGACCTCGGCCTCCAGGAGCCATGGATCTACGTGCCTTTCAGCTCGAGCTCCACCTGCAGCAGCTGGCTGGAAGCCTACGATCCGGTGGAGAACGTGTGGCACGACATCGGCACCATTCCAAGCACAAACCCGGGCGAAGTTCTCAAATGCTTCGCGATGGTGCACATCAAGGAGCGGCTCTTCATCATCGGCGGCAAGATCAGCAGCAAAGATGGTGGAGACCTCTACACGTCGCGGAAGGTCCGGGCCTTGAACACCATCACAGGAAAGTGGAGCCAGTGCGCGAGCATGTCGGTTCCTCGTGTCGACTTTGCATGCACGGTGTGCAACGGGGTCATCTACGTCGCCGGCGGGCGCACGGGCCTCAGGCACGAGAGAGGGATCGATCTCGCCGAGGCCTACGTCCCAGCGCAGAACGCATGGATTCCTCTCCCGGCCATGAACATCGCCCGCTACAAGTGCGTGGGAGTTACCCTGGAGAGAAAAGTCTACGTCATTGGCGGCTTCGCGCTCGCGGGAAGCTCGTCCGGCATCAACGAGGAAGATGATTCTCTGGAGAACGACGACGCGGAGACGATGAGATACTGCTGCTCGCCTGTGGACCGGAGCTCCGTGGACGTGTTCGACCCGGCGATGGGAAGCTGGGGGCTGTCTCGAGCGATGTGGCAAGTTGACGTGCCTCCCAACCAGATCGTCGCGGTGGAGGGGGTGCTCTACAGCTCCGGGGACGTGCTGAGCGCCTGGAAGGGACGTGTGGAGCAGTACGATCGTGGGCTCAACATATGGAAGATTGTGAATGGATCGCAGCGGCTCCAGCCCGTGTCGAGGGCCGAGAACAGCAGGTTCTGGGAATCATCACGCAAGTGGCAGCAGTGCTACCTCACCATGGCACAGGTGGGGAAGTCATCACTCTACTTCATTGGTGGCTACAGGAAAGCTGGTCATGATGACGAAGGATCTGGCGAAAGCTACACCATGAGCGACCGAGGAGTCGCCTTGGAAGTCGTGAGCGTTTTCGATACGAGGGAAGGGAAGTGGCGCAGCACGGAGACGTCGTCCATGGCTGGGAAGGAGCTTTGCAGCCACTGCTGCACGTTAGAGCTCTAAAACAAGTGGAGACGAGCAGACACAACACACAAGATACACTTTGGCGCTGGTGCTCGCCAGGTGAGTGAGAAAGGGAGTTTTCCAGTTCTTTTGCTTTGTTTTTTTTTTTTTTTTGTAACTTAAGCTTGGATGCCAGGTGAAGAAACTGGTCGTGACGTCGATCGGGCGGCGGCTGCTGCTGTTACCGCTGCATCCTTGGCCGGATTTCCAGGACGGGGCATTCAGCTCGAATCGCGTCGGCAAACTCCAAAAGGTTTTTACAAGCACAAATATGCGCTGCTGTTCTGTTTGCTCTGCAACAATCCAGTACTGCTCGAGTGGCCGGAGAGGAGTAAAGAAATCGCATCCCTTCCCTCCTCCTCCCCTCGCTTCTAAAATATGTTATGTTGAAACCGATGCTGCTGCTGGCTGGTACAGCGTCGCGTGGATTCATGTGATTCTGTTGTTTAGTTTTGTGTGTCTCAGTAGGTAGTTACTCAACTCTGGAGCACATAATCACCCAAGAGAGCTTGTTTTCTCTTTCAAACATTGTTTGTGGAGGACATGATGTACATTGTTTGTGGATGTTTGGTTTCATGCTAATAGTAAAGATAAGCTGGCAATTTTGACTTTTGATCTGTTCTCTCTGCGATGCTGGCTGGTTAGTAAATTAGAGTTCGGTAATCAAATCACTAAACACATATAGTGGATGTGGAGTGGATCATGGGCAAGTGCGATATTTCCTTGATTTTTCTTCCACCAGCGTACGGGCGAACAAGTAAACCAAAACAAAAGCAAAGAGGTCGAAGAGGCATCAACCACAAACTCTTTCTTCAGCAGTGGAGTGGACCCACAAACCACACATTCACACATCAAAGCACACTTGTTGTTTTGACGGATCAATCCAATCCCATCCCAACGAATATATATGCTGCACATCTCTCTCTCTCCCAAAACGATGCGGCCCCCGGAATGGACAACGCTTTTCCCGCCCCGACGGTTTGAATTTGAATTCAAATTCGAATTCCCGTCCGTACCGCTCACGAAAACCCCATGGCCTCCTCTGCTACGCGCACGGATCTTCTCGTGGAAGACCAAACAATCTCTCGCGTAAATTCCTTCTTTAAAGTGGATTTGGCCCTCCACAAGTGATTCTTAAGTACATGGGCACAAAATACAAGCCTCTTGCTTCGTCAAACTGCTGGAATCGAAGGCATGGATCCACCAAGACTCTTCTCCCTCTCTCAAAAAAGTAGCAGAAAAAATTGCAAAGCAAAGTAGTACTACCTAAAAGCAAAACTTAAAACCGACCCCCCAATGAAGAACAAAGAAAGAATTTGATCCCCCCCCCCCCTCCAAACAACTAAGACGTTGTTAATCACTCTAGCTAAAGACTCGTTCTCTGGAAAATGTAGCAAAGAACAAGCAGCGAAACCAGTAGAATGGAAACGACGAAGAAGAAACGAAGACGAAGAAGAAAAGAATTAAGTAGAGAACCGCCACTCTAGCAACTTCCCGTAAAGAATACGAATTCTCTGCCTGATCTCTCAGTCCTCCCGGAGAAGAAAGGATCAAACGAAAGGAAGGAGCGAAGGAAGGAAAGAAGAAGTTAAATAGGCCTAACCTCGACTCGCCATCGATGGATGATGGATGATCGATCGGTCGATGGGGATTCAGGCGATAAGCACCTCCTCCTCGGCAATCTCCCCCTCGGCCTCCTCCTTGAGATGCTTCATCACCACCATCTCCCGCTGCCGCCGCATCTCTAGCACCTTCCTGTGCGAGTTGGAGTGCTTGTCCGACACGAAGCTCGGGCTCCCCGCGGGCCGGTACTCGGGCAGCAGCCGGCCCGACTTAAACCGGACACCGCACGCGTTGCACAGCGTCTTGGGTCCCAACGGACCGGCTCGCCACTGTGGAGTTTTCTGCGTCTGGCAGTGGCTGCACTTCCTCGATGGCATCTCTGGCAGGCCATCACCGGACTGCTGCTGCTGCTGGTGGTGATAGCTTTGATGACGTTGAGCCACCCCCTGGTTTTGTCGCTGCTGGGCATCTTTGCATTGCCTCTTCGCGGCCGGGAGCCTGATCAGGCCATCGTCGTCCTGATCCTCCGTCGCCACCTCGCTCTCCGTCGACAGAGCACAGTCCGACTCGTGAGTCTCTGAGTGCTCGTCCTCCTCTTCTTCCTCCTCTTCCTCTTCCTCATCTTCCTCCTCTTCGTCCACCTCATATTCCTCCTCCTCGAGCTCCACATCTGCGTCGTCGTCGTCGTCGTCGTCGTCCTCTACGTCCTCCTGCTCTTCATCGTCCGTGCTCGCTGTGTAGCTGGTCTTTGTGGGCGTTATGGTCCGCCCCCTCTTGCTCCTCCCCGTGCTCGAAAACACGTTCTTCACATCGCCGCCGGCGTGGACCGAGGAGATTGAAACCATGGCTGACCTCTCCGATGTCGCGCAGCTCTCCAGCACAGACACCGGGCTCATCATGTATAGCTGCTCTTCCTGCTCCTGCTGCTGCTGCTGCTGCGCTCGTATCCGGTTCTTTTCCTCCTCCCGGGCCGACGAGCCCAGCAACACCTTTGCATTCCCGAAATCGAACCATCCCAGCTCCTGGAAACACACAAGCACAATCCGCATGAGAAACTCCACACCCAAGAAAAAACAGAGGCAGCAAGAAACACAAGAAACGTACCGGAGCGCAAAAACTCCGGCTGTCGATGAGCGAAGACAGCCCGCTAGAATCGCTGTTCTTGCTGCTGTCCTCGAGATCGCATATCGGACCCGCGAGGCCGTCCTGCGAGAAATCCAGCAGCTCCTCGATTCCAAACGAGTCCAAGCAGCAATCGGCCTCCTCCATTAAGCTCGCCCAAGAAGAAACCCGTTGTCAAGGCGCCGTGTGGCTGCAGGAAGAAGAAACCAACAATGGAAGAGGAGTGAGTCAAAAGATATGCCGATTCAGCACGACCCACAAAAGCCAGCCGCACAAAGAAACAAAATGCCCAACAGTAGGCAAATGCAACATGCCAAGCACAAGCAATTCCGCTCCATCTCTCTGCCCACCCGGCCGTCGCCCAGTCCTCGAACCTCTTTCTTTTTTCTTCCTCCTCCCAGCTAAGTAAGTAGCGAGCTAATTTTTTTCTCCTCTCCAGCTCTCTCTTTGCTTTTCCCTTAACAACACCAACGACACCAACACCACCATGCAGTGGTGCCCCACACGCAAAACATGCTGTTACCCATTATCCACTGAACGCCATGCTGCCACACGAAGAAAGTAATAGCAACGCCGGCCGGTTCTTCTTCTTGTTCTTGATGATCGAACCAAAAGAACCGCGCCGCTACGCCACGCCGGGCGATATTACACTCGCTCTCCCCCCTCTCACCTCTCTCTCACTCCTAGAAATGCCAAGAACGGCCGAAATATCTCTCACGCACAAGCAACCACACGCAAATTGCATGACAGAGGACGGACGAAACGGCTAGAACCGAGAGATGGACACTCACCGGAGAAGCCGCTCGAAATTTCGCTGCGATGCCACCGATTCCCGATAGCGCGGCGGCGCGGGGAGAAAAGAATCGCTCGCTTGCGAGTGAGCTAGGAAGCTGGAGCTAGGCGTCGTCGCTGGAGAAAGAAATCTTGGCGCTTCGAGAAAGGGGATGACCTAGAAAACCCAGCGCTGTGTGTGCCGTCGCCAAAAACCCACAGGGAGGAGCTATGTCCGTGTTGTGTTCATCCAAGTTGAAATTTTAACCCCGGATTAATCCCCCACTCCCCATTTGGACAGCATCTGCCGCTGCCGCTGACGTGGCGCGCCATCGTTGGCCGATCGACGTAGCCGTGCGGTTGTAACCACCGGATGCGCGGCCACGTCTGCGGCAATGCCCCGCGCTTTTGGCCTTTGAATGGGTCGCCCTTTATTACGTGGTCACCACTATTTTCGGGCGCCGGTTATGATATGGAGTTAAAACCGCGGGGTGGAAAAAATCACACGCCCGTTTACGGACCGTTGGATGGTAGAGGTAGGTGAGCTCCCACCGTCTGATGATTCCATTCGTCCACGAGAAAGGCCGCTTTGCAGGTTCGAATCATGGCGTGACAAGGATCAGGTGTAAAACTTAAGGCTAAAAGTACGCGTAATTTCTACTCCATGGCTTGGCTTGATACTTCAAACCCAAAAAGAAATTTTTTACCAATACATCACATGCTTTATTTCTATTTTACACGATCATCACATGGTTGCCAGGACATTTATACTCTTCTTTCTTACCAAACCTGGCTGGGCGGCGGTTAAATCCGCGCGGTTTCGTTTTTACCTTTATTCTTTTACTGCGTATTCGACGAAAAGGAATTTGAAATGGGGTGTCACCTTTCGCTGGTGTCGCTTATCATGTAAGAGATCGCTGGCGGCCGCTGGCTGACCTAAAAAAACTTCTGGCCAAAACGCTGGCATTGTCTCGTGGGTCGCCTTTTTAGAGGCGCTGTTGTGAGTGGGTTCTGGTAAGTTGGTATTCAAACGGGAGCTGGTAACTTTCTCGATTTTAACTTTCTCGATTTTACCCAGTGAAAGTTCCAGGCACTGTTGCTGACGATGTGAAACTTTGGCCTTGCAAGTTTTTCACCAGACCCGAAAGACTTCAAACAAAGCGCGTGTCGACGAGTTTAGAAAGACTCCGATGTTATTCTTGGAGATGACGGGTAAATCTGGGACGCCAGCTGATAGAGTCCTAGCTGACAAATTTTGTGGCGGGTCCATTCTGATATGCCGGGTGTAACAAGTTATGTGAGGAGTGTACGAGATGAAAATGAAAACCACGGGCTCTTCCTTAGAGCTTGGACTTGAATCCCAGTTTCTCGTGCCTCTGGGCCTCGTAGTTTGACGCTGCCTTTCGCAGGAGCTTGTGGATTTCGCCGAAGTGCGGCGACGTTGCTTCCTCCGTGTCGATTAGCCACTGTCTTAGCTTTGGAAACGGACTAAGAAGATCCGAGAGTTTTGCTGCACTGAGAAGCTGGAGAGTACCAAAAGAGAGGTCGCGGAAGGAGTCTCGAAATGGAAAGAGATTACCTCTAGCTGCGTGATTTCACAGCACAAGCTGAGATCGGCAATACTTGGTTTGAAGGAGCCACCGAGAAACTTGGTGCCACCTTGCAGCCACACGTCTTCTATCTTCGACAGGGAAGATCTTAGCAGTTTCTCGGAGTCACTGGCCAGCCTTGGATCTTTTGACAGTCCAAGAACTGGTGCGAGAACCAAAGCCATCACCAAACCAGCTGAAACTTGACACGAATCAGCAAAAAACTTCTACTCAGTGACACCGTCAATTTACCTGCGCCGCGTCGTAAGTTCGCATGATGCCAATCGAGGATGCTGTCAATACGAGCTCGTCGAGATAAATCCGAGGGATACCTGGACAGCGAGGAGACACTTATTTATGATTAAGCCAAGTTAAAACATACCAGTGGTCGGGGACTTTAGGATAAGTAGCTGCAAGGTATCTGAGGATAGCATGGCTGCAAAGAGATTTTGTTTAAGGACCTGGAAGATGTGACAGCACAAACTAGACCTTTCAAACAGTTTAAATCCATGGTCGACAATAGCAGGCACCTGGCCCATCGGATTGATAGCTACAATCAAACAAAACTTGGGATTCATAGGAGACGAAGAGGATACATACCTTTAAACTCGGGAGTCCTTTGCTGGCCTTTAGCTACGTTGACAACGTGAATCTCGGCGTCGATGTTATTGATCCTGGAGCAAAGATCACAACAACAACAAACGAATAGAAGTAAACGAATACATTAAGAGAACAAAAACGACCGAGCTAGAAAATGGTACGAAACGCAGCCAAAGATCAATCGATTAGAAAAAAGAACAAAAAAATATAGAATCGAATGCTGGCGAAGCTAGAAAATGCTAAGAAACGCAGGCAAATATCCTCAAAAAACAACAGGAGGAAAAAAAATCCCAAGAAAAAATCCTGGCGCAAAGAAAATGCGCCTTTGTAGTGATCAAGAGGAGCAAATCAATCCATAGAACTTACTGGCAGAAGATGAGAATCGCTCGTGACGGCTGCGACATGAAATCCACATAGAGATGGAGCTTGGAATCCCTCTTGTGCGGCGGCGCCATCGCCATTGCCATCGTCTCTCACTCGCTATCAAAATACTTCAAGATAGCACACAATTAAAAACCCTCGCGGCTATGGTGTCAGGAAATATTTCCACCCCAGCCACTATCTTTCCCACTCGCTACGCTGCAGCTGGCGGATCGAGCAGCAACCCGCGAGGGATGAACTGCTAGGGCTCATCGCTTGAGAAGCCAGAAGGAGAAGAGGAATAAAGAGAGAACTCTTCGCGCTCGCAACCACCGAGAAGGATTTGGCACTCGCGCTGGCGACATTCTCGAGGTGAAAGAAGACGAACGAGGATAAATTCTAGGCTGGTTGGAATTCCAATTAAGATAAAGGGAAAATTGCTTTTCCATAAAGTCTGAAGTTTAAGAGCATTTCAAAGGAATATTCTGTTTTAATTTAGAAAAAATAATGCCCACGGCTAAATGGATTTTCACAAACTTATTTCAAGGGTATATGATTCAATCAAGAATTTAAGGATAATAGTGAAAAATGTAGTTATTATTTTATAAAAGCTTATTTTACTCAATCAAGACATTTGTGAATAAGCATTCATGTGGTAGGATTAAGTATTTGGGATGTTAAGTGGAAAATCAAATTCATAATAGAAACATTCCTCCACATGATTTTTAGATTATATATCACTTCAAGCAATAAGTGAAAGATGAATTAAATGTGGCATTGAAAAGCATATAATGGTTGAAATGCATTGCGAGTGTGGTGTTTTTATATTTTAATACAAGGCTTAGAGAGTAAAAGAAAACACTACAACAGAAATTCATGGAAATCATAACATAACTTATGCAAAACTATTTGTATATGAATTTTTTTTGTTTTAATGTCAAGGCTAATAAAACTTATATTCACTTTATTGGTTTTATGGATTGTAAACTTTTGATCAGCCTTGATAATATGTATTTTAAGTCAAAATACTTTAGATACATAGACTCATTGTTTCCTTTTGCATTTGGTGTGATTAATGCTGAAAATAATGAAAATTAAATTTGGTTCATTAAGTATTTATAAATATTAATTAGAATTTAGCATTATAATGGTATACATTACACTTTCCTCTCTAATTAGCAAAAATATATATAAGAAGATTATCAATCAATATTTGATAACACGTATTATAGATTTTATATGGGGCATTTTACTTATAACTTGTTTAAAAATCTAAAGTTTATTCAATTGCTTTAGAAAATATATGATGCTTGCATATTGTTAAACTTTAATGTAGCTATGGCAAAAGTTCATGATAAAAATTTAAATGTTACTTCTTAAGTAGTAGGCAATTACAATTTTTGAAAAGTAATAATTTAAATATTTGATAAGCAACATTTTAACATCTTTGAATATGTGGTCACTTGAAGCTCAAGATATATTTATCCTTGTGATATTTAAGCACATTTGATGCAAAGCAGCTAATTGATTATTTAAGTGCCAATTAAAATATGATGAGGCATATGGCAACACAACCAAAGTGTCGCAAATGTGACTTTAGATATCCAAAGTTACCTGTCGACTAATCCTTTTAGACATTCTTTCTTTACTACCACAACGGCAAAAAGTCAGTATTGCTAGGCTTGTTATTTGTTCCCACTTGAGCTAGTTGAGAAACTGTGTAAGCGACTAATTTTTCCATTCTACTTCAGTCACTTAACCACACCTCCGACCACTTGGAGGAGTCTCATTCACAACCTCCATAAGCCCAACTCAGGACTTGGGGCTTGCTAGCCCCGAGAATGGCATCCATGCCACTCAACCTTAGCACTTGGTCCAAGTGCTCCACGTGTCCGATCCCATGATCGACACCCCAAGGTACCATCGACATATCGGCCCGTTACGCTAAGGCCATGCCCATTTACCTCGGTCACACTGGTGGTCCAACACCACCTACATTCCAATCCCGTCCCTCAAAGATTGGGTCATCCATCCATGAGTGATCATCCCAGATCCACTCCTTAACATCCTTAGGATGCCTACAGACATGGGGAATAGCCTTCCCCAATATCTCTGTTCCGGTCCCCACCAAGTCCCTTTCTGTCCTTGGCTGTGTTCGCCAACATTGCCACTGGATCGAGGCCCACTGGCCCGACCACTAAGTCCCACTATCCTCTAGGACTTCCTCACTGTGTGACTGTGTCCTTGGTCACTACCCCAGAGGACTGCTCCTCTTCCTTTCCACAGTCTGGGCCTTTGGGACAACATTTCGGAACACCGTGGCCTTACACGAGCCACCTGGGTACTCTCCTCACCTTCTGCCCTTGGGTGCTCTAGCCATGGGCTTAGAGCGGGTTCCGTTGAGCCACACCAGGTATCCAAGTAGGTAGTGCCACCCACACTTGGACTGGGAGCATCGGCCAGTCGATCTCCCGGGGGAACTAGAGCCGGCTCTTGAACACTTCACCAAGCTACCCCGCTTGTCGGTCCGTATTCACTCTAGTCTTGGACTTCCCAGTGGTCAGTTCATCACCCAACACTGGGTCTGGCCTTCCTGGGCCAAACTGGCCTTTCCTGGCCAAACTGGCTCCACTGCAGTCCTCCCCCTACTATACTTTTGGAGCTCACCAAACCCCCCAGGGTCTGGGAGACGAACGCTTTGGGCTTTCACCCTCTCAGGCTCCGGACTCGGACTCGGACTCGGACTCGGACTCGGACTCGGACTCGGATTCGGACTCGGACTCGGGCTCGGGCTCGGTCTCGGCCTCGGCCTCGGTCTCGGTCTCGGTCCCGATCTCGGTCTCGGTCTCGGTCTCGGTCCCGGTCTCGGACTCCATCTCGGACTCCATCTCGGACTCCATCTCGGACTCCATCTCGGGTCCATCTCGGACTCCATCTCGGACTCTATTTCGGGTCCATCTCGGGTCCACCTCGGACTCCATCTCGGACTCCATCTCGGACTCCATCTCGGGTCCATCTCGGACTCCACTTCGGACTCCAACTCGGGTCCATCTCGGGTCCACCTCGGACTCCATCTCGGACTCCATCTCGGACTCCACTTCGGACTCCAACTCGGTTCCATCTCGGGTCCACCTCGGACTCCACTTCGGACTCCATCTCGGACTCCATCTCGGGTCCATCTCGGACTCCATTTTGGACTCCAACTTGGGTCCATCTCGGACTCCACTTCGGACTCCAACTCGAGTCCACCTCGGACACTCCCACGTGTCATGTGTTGGTCCTTTTGGGTCCCTTTTTGGAGCCTCGCCTTTTGCTCGCTTCGTGCTCATTCCTCGAGCACTTCGTTGGGAGTTCCACTCCCGCTCTTGACTTTTCAAGTCGGAGCTTTTGGTCCAAACGTGTTACGCTCGTTTGGCTCTCGCTTTGGCCACTACCACGTGGCACCCTTCCAGCTCCACTTTGGGGCCTAGGGATTTTGTGTCTCACAACTCCACCACCCATAGACGAAGTTCGATGTCCTCATCGAACGGTAAACCCTTTCATAAAGTAACACCCACACGTGTTACCATTTCCATCCTTGGCACCTAGCCAATCTTTGTCTATGGTTTGACATCAAAGGCTCACCATGCCTTGTCCATCCTTTAAGGAGCGTAGTCTTTCCAATTTAGAGACTGATTGGACCACATGTAATGGTTCATCCTTTTATTGGTTTAGTTCTCGCTAAACCTCTTAGAGACCCTTCTCTAAGTCAATCCCACTACTCCTTCTCGAGTAGTCTCAATTTCCATCGATATAACCTTTGCACTTTGGAACTTTGAATTTTTGACTTCTTGGAGTCAATTTCCTAGGTGTCTCCAACACCTTGCATTGCACAGTTTGTGCAACTCCACTTCCCTATCCTAGGAAGTTCATTACTTGAGGGCACCATCATCCTCTCTTCTATTTCGTGCCACCTTGGGCACTAAGTTCCATTTATCACACTTTGTGCTAGGGTTGTCCATCGCCCTATCATTTGGCTACCTTACCGCTCCCTCCCTTGGAGCTTCCACTTTCGCCAAATCGGAGCAATTCGGAATCCCTCCTTGGAAACACACTTCCTTTCCCGCAACTTGTTAGCGTCTAACACATTAGTGTTCCTCGCCTAACTTTGTCACTTGGATTCCTTCCAAGGGATTCCACGGCCCTATCTTGGCCACTCATCTTTTGCTCCTATCCATTGATTGTTGCACCAAGCAACATCAAATCTCTACCTCCCTCCTTGAGGTATTGTTTCGGTTCCATAGCAAAGACTCTTCTTTGCCAAGTCCGGAGGATGTTCACCCCTAGTACGTCTCTTTAGCATCTTCTACTATGGGCTCTATCCACGGCCCAACTTCGTGACCCTCCCATGGGTCTTTTATAGAGACTACTTTCCTCGGACTCACTATGCCATCGCACGGACATAGTTTATTTCCCTTAGGTGCTCTTCCCACTTGGTTATCACGACCAAGCCACACCACCTTAAACAGTTCAATTTCAACATTTTGAACCAGGAACTTCATTCCTTAGCCAACCAAGGACCTTGTCCTTTTCTGGCCATAAGATCACCTAGTGATCTCACTTTGGCACCTTAACAGAGTTGCCAAGAGGTACTTGGTTTTCTAGACCTCCAAGTTGTTGACTATAACCCCGGGGGCATCCCCCACACTTGGCGGTGCACCCAAGCTAGCCCTTACGGCCAAGGGTTCATAGCAACTGAGATTAGGTGTCCCCATCTCACTCACCACGACCTTGGTGCCACTTGCACCAAAGTGTTCAAGTTAGATATGCTGAGCTTTCACACTAAGCAATCTAACCGTGCATCACGACTCCGAGGCATCCCTCGCTTGGCGGTGTGCCCAAACCAGTCTCCCCACTGAGAGTCCATGACCACCGAAATATGAGTGTCCTCATATTCCAAACCATCACCACGCCCTAGTGATTTGGGACTCGAACCCAAGCACTAGAGGGTCGGGTCTCGAACCCAACCTCCGTATATGCATCTACGGACGGCATCACACTAGATGCCTGGCCTGACTCCCCACGCCGGTGCACCAACCTATTTTTAAAGCGTGCTACAGATCACAGCTTAGGAACCTGGTTCCTCCACACTGCCAAGTCCTCTCACTTGACATGTCTGTGATCATGCATGGACTCCTCCATGCTCGGCCCCATGGCCCACCCTTTTTGAAGTTATCACCTTCAACTAGGGTCTTTGTTCCCCCGACGTGCCAATCTCACTTGGCAAGTCCTCCGACCATTGTAACATGGTTCCTGCATAGGCGTGAAAGTCCTTGACCATCGACTTTCGTTCAAAGCCCTCTCTTTGAACACTCGGGAACTACTTCCCTAACCTTGATAACCTTGCCTC